ATGGATGATCTTCTCATCATGTTGCGACTTCTCTCAACCCATTCAAACCATGTGTCTTTGTTAAAGTTCCATCTGGTGATGTCAAAGGATTTGAATCCTGCGTTGAAATATATCCTGTTGTCTCCCATATTGTACTAAACCAACTGCTCAGCTTATGAAAGTTAAAGTTTGTTTGGAAGTTATCCCAGTGAGCTAGAAAAACTCGGAAATGAAAGAGGAAAAAACCAGAGACAGAAATCTGGAAGGTTCCTACCAACCGGAAAAATAAAAGTTGTCGGAATTCAGAAAGGATTATATGGTTGTGGTCGGAATTCCCCAGTGAGTGTGTTGTCTGAATGAAATTTTTTGAAAAAGTGGCCGGAAAAGTGCTCACGCGCCGGCGCGTGGCATTGTCCTCGCCGGTGACATGCTGCGCGTGGGGGCGCGTGGGTGTGATTTACCGGAGCTATTTTCAGGGGAGTGGTCGGAATTTGAACGGCGCTTTAATGGTGTATATGGATTCACAGAATACCTTGTTCTCAGGCTCCTCGGGGAGTGTGCCTGAGAGCTTTAAGAAAGGAGAGAGAAATTTTTTTATCTCTGCTTCACTTTCTTGATTGCACTGGTTTGTTGTTGTTGTTTGAAGAAAAGAACACCATGGAAACAAGGTACCCCAATAGGAGGTACCAACTAGCTGGAGAAAAGGTTACTATTATTGGCACACTTACATGTCCAATGGTAGAGAGGAGTCTCTTAAGTTTGGTGAAATTGTATGACAACGTAGGGGAAGGAGTGAAATTTAGACCATTCTGATTTTTAGAGAATCTCTATATTGTCCAAAAGGACGAAGTGCGGTGTAGTGGAATAAATGGACCCAAATGGAATAGAGTGGATATAGATTCATATATCTGTCAAGTAGTTTTAGATTGAACGATAGCTGTTGTCAAATGCTATGAGGAATTCTTAATGTGAACACTGGCTAAATGCTTCAGAAGTGGAAAAATAAATACTGAAGGAGTGTATTTGGTATTTCTCTGCAATTGCCTGAGTTGACCTTTATCTCGTGCATCCAAGAACTGCTAGAGTCTAGAAAAAAGAGGGCAGCCCGGTGCATTAAGCTCCCGCTATGCGCGGGATCCAAGGAGGGTCGGACCACGTTGGGTCTTATATGCGCAGCTTTACCTTGTATTCTTCAAGAGGCTGTTTCCGCTCACATGGCGGCAACTTTTACCATTGTGCCAAGGCTCCCCTTCTATTAAAGTGTAGAGTGAGGGAAAAATTAGGTTGTTTAAAGTTTCAACATGCACCAAAAAGAAAAGAGAGGTTATATGAGAGCTGCTTTACTGGTTGAGCATCTTCCACTATAAGATTTTATATAGTAGATATGTAGTTGCTTGCCCTACTGTAGTACAGGTTTGACCTTTGTTATGTGATTGTATTATGTATATCTCTTCCAGAAATTACTATTTGATCCCTTTGACGAGATGATCTCTAACTTAATATATATGGAGCTTCAGTTTACTCCTGTGGTGGTTTCCTATGTGCCTTCTTTTCATGAATTCCTATCTTCAGAAAATAAGACTTCTTATTACAGGAGAATGGCTGGGAAAGCTGTGGTTAAGCAGCCAATATCTGCATTCGACTTTGAGATTGTTGAAGGTGTTTCCGATAACCTTACAACTGTTGTGGCATCTTCTAGCCAGAGTAGCCCATGGATTGACCCTGCAACTATTAAACTTAGACATAGAATTGGAAGGGGTCTATTTGGGGATGTTTGGTTAGCAACTCGTCACCAAACCACTGCAGATTATGACGAGTATCATGAAGTAGCTGTGAAGATGTTGCATCCTATGAAGGAGGAGAACATCAATGTTGTCTTAGATCGGCTGGGAAATTTGTTTACTCAGTGTCAAGAACTAAAACATATTTGCTGGCTTCAGGGGCTGTCTGTGATAAATGGAAAGGTGAATATTTTCTCGCGGTGCTGTTAATGCGAAAGTTTCTACTACCTTTCTGAAATACTTTAAACATTCCTGCAGCTATGCATTGTTATGAAGTTCTATGAAGGTTCTGTTGGTGATAAAATGGCTCGTGCAAAAGAAGGAAAGCTGTCCTTGCGAGATGTTATAAGGTGATATTGGTGTAGTTTTTATTGAGAATTGAGTTTCAGTCCATATGGGAAAATATGATATAATGATATATTCATTCTGGTGATCGTAACAGGTATGGGACTGATCTTGCTCGTGGGATAATGGAGCTACACTCGAAGGAGATCTTGATTCTTAACCTTAAACCTTATAATTTCCTTTTGAATGAAAATGATCATGCAATTTTGGGGGATATTGGGATTCCTTATCTGCTTCTTGGAGTTCCTTTGTTGAGTTCAGATATGTCAACAAGACTTGGCACCCCAAATTACATGGCTCCAGAACAATGGCAGCCAGAAGTTAGGGGTCCCATATCTTTTGAGACAGATTCATGGGGATTCGGTTGCAGCATTGTGGAGATGCTGACTGGTTCTCAGCCATGGAGTGGTAAATCAGTTGATGAAATATTTAAATCTATTGTAAAGAGACAAGAGAAACCACATATTCCTGGAGGCCTCCCTCCTGCGGTTGAAAGTGTCATAGTTGGTTGTTTTGAGTATGATTTCAGGAATCGCCCTCTGATGGGAGACATATTGCATGCATTTCTAAGGTATCTAATTTATTTTACTTTTGGAAGGCAATTGACATGAACCATTTTCTCTCCGTTGTCTTTTAGCTTTGTTGTATGTTCCATTTTCTAGAAGAATCAAGTTACAGAACTGGCTGTTTTAGGGGTTTGATATCTGCTACGGTCATACGGCCACTAGAATTTGCTTAAAAGAAACAAAAGAAGTAACAGCATGTTTTGCTTAAAGTTCTACAGCCTGTAGTAAGCTCTAACTTGAACCTTTCTCTTCTATTTTCTTGTTTTTTTTTTTTTTTNGAACTGTGAAAGGTATTCTTGCCCTTGGCTAGAAAAAGATTGTGCTTATCAAAATCATCATATTTTATCTCCAAAGCAGATTAGTTAACCATAAACAGAATGGGTAATTGTTCATCCATGTAGCAGAACTAGTTAACGGATCCTCCCCGTGCCTTTTTGGGTTTTGGGAAAGCTACTAAATGTCACATATTTGATTCTTGGGAAAGCTGCTAAATGTCACATATTTGATTCTACATCCTCAGTTTCTATGAGGTGCTCATAAAATATTTATCTGAAGTATGTTCTGCTCCATGCTCGATTTGTCCAGCATGGACGTTAAACATTTTTTTTGAGAATTTTAACTAGTTTTATTAGGATTCTATTCTGCTCCATGCTCGATTTGTCCAGTATGGACGTTAGACAATTTTTTGAGAAGTTAAACTAGTTTTAATAGGATAAGAGGACTTGACAGTTGACGTGAGCATGGATTTGAGTCCTATGGAAAAACATAGATAGTTGTATATTAAGGCCAATCATGGACTTGAACTTGAGTAAGATCACAATACTGGACGATTTGACAGGTACCTTAAGTATCACTTGCTTATAATGAACCAACAACTGTGGAACTTATTGGCTAGTTAGTGGCTTCTCTGTGACAAAAACAATGATAAGGATGGTGCAGTTTAAATGTTATTATTAACTGATTATGGATATAAAACTCATATTAAATGTCTCTGGTATCATTTTGTGATGCTGAAAACAAATATAAGAAAATCTAGTAACCTCTAAGCTGTTGGATAGCCTCAAAGCTACACACAGAGTAGTTAAAGAAAATTCAATGAAGGTAACTTACGCACGAGTAGTTAAAAAAATGCAGTGAAGGCTTGATAAGAAAATCTTTGGAATTGGCTCATACTTCTTTACTCTGGAATGGCATAGACTAATCATTCAGAATTATAATGTTTGCTGTTAAAAATATACAAGGAAAGTTACTGTTACCTTACTTTACAAAAAATTAAAAGGGAAGTAGTAGTTATTAAACTTTGCCAGATTCCATCTGCAATCAACTCTCTAATAATTAGTATTCTTGCTAGGGAACTCTTATGAATATAAGGAGCATTAATCATAAAGGTTATAGATTTACCATTATTTACATAAAATATTAACCATATATTCTACTTGTATGGAAAAAGAATGCTAGAAATCTCATATGCTGAAATTCTTTTTTGTTTCCTCTATGGTAAGAAAACATTTAGTATTGTTGATGCTACAACTTCATAGTATGATTATATAACCAAGAACACTATGATATCCATTTGCACAAACTCATCTAACGCTCCTCTCTATTAACTGATACTCAAAGGATTTTCTTTAAAAGGTTATTTAGATGTTAGAAGTTTTTGACTTAGGTAGTTGGAACGATGTTTGGCTAGTAAATTCATCAACTTTCAGATATAATTAACTTATGATATATTAAGTAATAGAGAGCTGGCGTGAACAGCCGATATACATGCGCAAATGAAATTTTTGGAGCGCTGTAAAGAATTTACCAAGGAATTGGTGTACATTTCAGGCATTCGCGTAGTACATATCAATAAAAGCTCATTTTACTACGTATAATAATTTTTTACGCTATCAGTGTAGGTTAATCTTTAATAGTGGGTTAGTTACCATTTTTACTAAGTTACTATTTAATGCTTATCATAGTAATATACCTATAATTATCTTATAAGTGACCTAATGGTGTAACAAAATTTTACACCATCAGTGCATAGAACTTAAACTCATTAATAAGCACTAAATACAGGAATGTCAAGAATGTGATTATTGGGGTAGAAATGAGCATTGAAGAAGGGAAGAAATTGGAGGGGAAGTGCCTAGTGGCCAATTCTAATTTTGGGAGAAATAGTTCGGTTTGAGCATATGGTTGAAGTATCTCCTGTTCTCGTCTTGGGGCACAAATCAATCAATTCGTTTAAGCTTTCCCCTTTAAAATGCTGCAGGTTTTTTTTTATAATCTTATCTAATGAAGTTGCATATCTTATTCAAACGTATGGTTATCATAGTTAGATGCCAATACTAAAGTAAAATTTAACGTGTTCTATAATATCTTATCTGAAGAAGAAGTTGCATATCTTATTCAAACGCTTGTTCAAACCATGTGGAGGTGTTTAAAACATGTGTTTTGGCCTACTAGAGGTGCTTTGTTGGGACAACTCTCAACTCTGGTGGCCAGCTTTGCAAAACCGTGCATGTAAAGGCGTCAATTATGTATTACTCGTAAAATATAACCCTGAAACTTACTGAAATTGCCTAAATCTGACTGGAAGCTTAAAAGGAATGAGAGTGATGCATAAATTTGATGACGAAAAAACACTTGAACATGTGCTAATAGTTTGTCCGGGCTATTTGAGGCGGGAATGAATTCATATCATTAGCTTTGTTAAATTTTGTCATTTATCTTGAAGGTGGTAATGGCATAACCTTCATGGCATGATGCAGAATGAATGCTAGTTTGATCTTTATCGTTAACATCTAGATTTTTAGATGGGCAGGTCTCTTGCTTAATGCATGAAAATCGGATTATTTTATTACTTGAAAGTTCCTTCTACGGTAAGTGTTTATAGTTACATTTTCTTACATTGCATTTCTATGCTTTATTTTTCTTCCTTGGTGCTTTTTTCCGCTAAAACCTACAATTTAATTGCGCTTTGCGCTTAAAGCTCCAACAGACTTTGGCGCTTTTTGCTTTGACTACTCTATTAATGCTTAGCTGAAACTTAAATTTATTCAATCTACTCTGCAGTTCACAGGAAGCAGCTTATGGCGATGAGGGATGGAGAGACCCGGGGAGTCGGGTTAACTTGGACAAATTAAGTGGAAGTGGCTATAGCAAGTGGTTGGTCCTAAAGGATCAGCTTCAAATTGGAGACACTGTGAGATCCAGGAAGCCACCAAACTCATGTAAACCTGAAAACATGGAGGTACCAGGCGGTACCATTGTTGGCATGGAACGAGATACGGAACGAAATGGATTTGTGCTGGTGAGGGTGCATGGAATCCATGATCCTCTTAGAGTTCATGGATCGACATTGGAGCGGGTGACATTTGGCTTGGCTGCAGGAGATTGGGTACGTTTGAAGGCGAACGGTAAGAAACATTCATCGGTAGGCATCCTTCACTCCATTGATCGTGATGGAAGTGTAGCTGTTGCATTCATAGGTTTGGAGACCTTTTGGAAGGGTAACTGCTCCGAGCTTCAGATGGCAGAAGCTTACTGTGCTGGACAGTTTGTAAGGCTGAAGCCTGATATCTTCAGTCCGCGCTTTGAATGGCCCCGAAAGAGAGGTGGTGACTGGGCAACAGGTAGAATTTGTCAGGTGCTACCTAATGGGTGTCTTCTTGTGAACTTTCCTGGTATGCTGGTGTTTGGTGATGAAAATAGCAGCTTTTTGGCTGATCCAGCGGAAGTTGAAATCGTTTCTTTTAACGCTTGCCCTGGTATTGTGAAGAAGTATCAACACCTTGAGGACTTCCACTGGGCTGTTAGACCACTGTTGATTGCGTTAGGCCTATTTACTGCTATGAAGCTTGGCCTTTTTGTTGGCAAGAAAGTCAGGAGATCAAAGGTGAAGACGGGACGCAACCCGGTGATACCCTTTGAAGGTCAACAAGGGGATGCTCAAAATGCTAGCAATGCAGCATGGCTTCCGCCAAAGGTGGCAAATATCATATTCAGAGAAGGGGCTAGTGTAACAACCACCTCTAGGTAGTTCTTAGTCTCTACCAATGCCAAGCTAAGAGGATTGCACTAACATCTACTGGAAGTTGGATGACCTATTTGCGACCTTGGCTTTAGAGAATGCAAAAATTCTATGATAAACAAGTGTTTAAAGATCTGTAAATAGATGGATGGCTGTAAATACACTTTTACTGTTTATGTATATATATATATTTCCTCCATTATATGACAGTTGTCGGAAGGGGAGCATTGACATAACTGGTAAAATTGTTGTCATGTGACCAGGAGGTCACGGGTTCGAACAGTAGAAATATCCTCTTGCAGAAATGCAGGGTAAGATTGCGTACAATAAATCCTTGTGGTTCGGCCTTCTGCGGACCCTGCACATAGCGGAAGCTTGGTGCACTGGGCTGCCTTTTTATATGGCAGTTGTGAGTATGCCTTGTTTAAGCCCTCGAATCATCAGTATATCCATGACAAGAACTCATTGTCAATCTAGTTTGAACACTTATTTGTAAATCCATCTAATTTGTGACAACCGAATAGTCTGGGGTTCTGGCCCTTGCTAATGAATTCTTTTAGCAAGGATCACTAAAAATGTGCAAGTTCTTTTTGATGATAATACACTAAATAAAGTTGTTAAGTTAAACAGTAGAGTGGTGGTAATTGCAAAATCTTTTTGGTAGTTCTAAAGGAATTACCAAACAACTTGTGCAGAAGCATATTCAAGTGGTCCTGTTTGACCTAAAATGACCAGTTGCTTTAGGTGCACTTGCCATGGTTCTTGATTTTTACCTAAAGAACCAACTCAAATTGTTCTACGTTTCTTTTTGTTTTTTGGGTTTTACTGTAGTGCAATTTCTTCACGTTCCACTAATCAAAGTGAAAAGGAAAAGAAAAAGTTACTAGTAATTCGATTCCCCCTATTCTTTGTCTTCGCAAGTTATGCCACAATTGCTGGAATGTATTACACCAGATGAAATTGGTTACACTAGTTGTATTATGGGGTTTTTCTCATTGCACATGGATAAACTTTTGTATCCAGCCCGGCTAAGGATCAACTCCTCTGAAGTTCCTAAAATTCAGTGTAATTTCAAATATTAATTTTAAATCTTAAAAATAAATTTTACATGTTTAAACAAACTAGATAAAAATATATACATCACATGATCACAATTTTAATGAAAAAATTGGAGTCAATTTAAAAAGTTGGCCAACTCTCCAATTAGTAACATTTTTTCTTCCTAATTAATAATAAGATCATTTTATTGTCGAATAATTATCCAATGGCTTTTCATTAATCATGAGATAGCAACTCCTTAGAAAAACTCATCCTGACCAAGAAATTACAAGCTGAAACTGTTTCTCCCTCCACTTCTCCATATGAATTTACCAAAAGAAGCATCAAGCACAAAAGGCACTAGAATAAGATGTTTTCTCTGAATTCTCACTATCATCACAAAGGAGAAACAAAACAAAGTATCACCAATGTTCCAGCAAGGCACAATAAAAAACTTGTATTTGGGACGTAATCCAACGTACAAAAGAGCTAAAATAACAAACAAATTTTGTAAGCTCATCCGCGACTATAGCAAGCAAATGGTTAGAGGCATGTATAGAGAATTGTCATTAATTTCATGAAACTTTATTGGGGGCATAAAAGGCCAGCTTCTTTCACCAGCTGCTCAGTCAACGCTGAAAGCCGGGCCAATTCCGTGTAGACTTCAGCAAGACACTCACCACTGCTAGCAACGTTTGCTGCAGTTCCCGGGCTATCACCCAACAAAAGGCTGCTATTGTAGTCAGCCTCGACGCTCAATCTAGCTTTATTCAAAAGCTCACGGCTCAGTTCAGCGAGTTTCTGGAGAGCAGTAGTTGCAGCTTCAACTTCCAATTGAGCTGCCTCGAGTTGGAGCTTTTCAATTGCCAGATCCCCAGTACTCTTTTCACCTATTCTTTCCTGTACCAAAGCATAAAGTTGCCTCAGGTCATCTGCATCTCGAGTCATTTCCTTCATTTTATTTATTTCTTCCTCCCTATCATCTAATTTTTGACGAACCATTTTGAGCTCCTCCTCTTTGAGTTTTAGAGCCCTTTGGGCTGCAAGAGCTTCCATTTCTCTACTCCTCAGGCTTTCTCTGGTTAACTCGAGTTCATTTTCAAGCTGGTTCTTTTGCCACCTAAAAGTATCAGTTGATTTCTCCACCAGCTGAGATGACCACGTTTCATCAGCATGACTGAGTGGGCTCAACACATCATCCTTAACAGAGATAACCAGTTTGTTAGTCAGGTCTACTATACGTTCCACAACGGTCTCAGCTTCTGAATATTTCATTTTTGTATCATTTAACTCATCTTGCATTGTCTGCGTGGATTCGTCTTTTTCTTTCAACATAGTTGTTGCCTGAATAAGTTGCACTTCTTGACTGCTCATGAGCACCCTCAGCTCAGCTATTTCCTGATTTAGTTCATCTAACGTCTTTCTTGAATCCAGAAGTTCCTTGTCTTTTTCTTCCAACATCAGCTGAAGAGAAGAGCACTCAGACTTCAAGTGCTGAATCTCTAATCTAGCATCTACTAGCTCTGACTCTTTAACCTGAAGAAGATCCTGTGTTTCTCCAAACTCTGCCCTCTTACGGTCAAGCTCCTCTTGGAGAGTAGATTTTTCCTTCAAAGCTGCTAGCAGAGAAGACTTCTCATTATTCAATTCATTCTGCAATTCCTCAATGAGCTCCTTTTCCATGGATAAATCCCTTTCAAGTTCTCTGTTTCGAGCCTCAGCAACCGTAAGTTTCACTTTCTCACTCTCTACCTCAATTTGAGCTTCTTTCAAACTTGTCATGTAAGCCATAACACTTCTTCTTTGCTCTTCAAGCTCTCTGAGACGCTCTTCTAATAGATTTTCCTGCTCCTCCATTTTCTCTCTAGAGGATGTCAAAGCTCTCTGAGATGAGGTTAACTCGGACCTTACATCGGCAAGTAGCTTCTTCACTCTTCTGAAATCCTCAAGGGTCTCATTTGCTTCTCCACCATATTTAGATGTTTCCTCTTCCAATTTCTTCATTTCTTTCTTTGCTACGAGCCAATCCATTGCCTGCTTCTCCAAGTTGGATTTGACAACTTTAAGTTTCTCTTCTTCAGTTTTCTGCATCATCAAGAAGTCTTCTAGCTCTTTCTCTTTCTCTTGAATTTTGCTTCGGAGATTTTGTAGTTCCACCTCCTGTCTTTGAACTACTTCATTTGCAGCATCAAGTAGCTCAGCCTTGGTTCTGAGTTCTGATTCAATGTTAGCAGCTTCATTGCTTTTAGTCTTCAACTCGTCCTTCATTTTATTTATTTCATCTGCTTTTGAATCTAGGGCTGTTTGTGCAGCAGATATCTCTTGATCTCTCTCCTTGAGACAAAACTTTAGATCCTCAATTTCAGCAGCTTGAGATGCTAAGGTAAGATTAGCCTGCCTTAGCTTGTCTTCCAGTTTTTCCTGCCTAGAACTAGCAGCTGCAATCTCTTCCTCACGTTGCTCCAATTCCAATTTTGCATGGTTTACTTCATTGTATTCTATCAAGACTTTTCTCTCCGTATCTTGAAGATCTTCTTCCTTCTTCTTCAAGGCTGCAAGAGCATCCAGCAAATCAGACTCCAGTTCGCCAAGATCCAGTCCCAGCTCAGCGACCTGAGGAAGATAAGGATTTCTGCCTATCTGTTCTTCTAGTTTCTGGGTCTGGGCAAACAACCTCTCAAGAAGAACCCTTGCAGGCTCAGTTGCTCCATTACCGTTGATATTTGATTTCCTGTTATCCAAGACTGACCTGACAATTCTGGAGGAAGGACCCCGTCCACAATGAGCTGTCATAAGCACTAATCTCTTCTTCTTCCATTTGGGCCTCACAAAGCAGAACTGTACACAAACACAAGTCAGTAATTACACCATAATATCATCATCCACAGAGCTTCCTACTTTTTTTTAAATAAAAAAAATGACAAACCCCTCATCTATTCCTTCATGCCCAGTACAATTCATATAGTACATACTGACCAGTGATAAGCAAGAGATGATGTAAAAGACCAAGGCATGATAGGATAAGAGTTCCAACGCAGCAATTCAATTTTATAGTATCATACAGGTAAAATAACTGAATCAATTTTACTCCTTGGCACAGTGAATCACTCCAGTACATTGCACAATGACTAGTCAACTTCTATGATATGCAAGCAAGAGGCTCACATTTATATCTTAATTTTCTTTTTTTAGCTTCTCCTCTTTTTCCTTTTGTAAGATGAGGTGAAATTCATCAACAAGGAAAGGAGTTGATTATTTCATTTTTCAACCCTCATCCATCCCCACAACTCTGGGTAAAAAATTAAGAGTGAGAGACGTCTCGTATACTCTCCTTATGATTTCTTGCATCCTTTTTATTCTTTTTTATAAGGTAAGGTCTGGTTTCTGGCGTCCCATGATCATAACAATCTGCCACTGCCTTGTTCAAACTTTATTTTAACTTTTATTCATACAACAATTGGCCATGGATAGAGCATAAAGGATATAGAGGATTCATATAGTTGACACCCAACTAATTTGGATTGAGGTCCGGTTGATTGGTTCATTGATTTCATCCATATACTCACTGAAAGAAATTGATAGGGAACATTGATTCCCCAGCAAACTTCAATAGACAAAACAAGATCCATTTAAATATGCAATTGTATACTTTCCCATTCTGAACAAGTGAACCTTGTTTCAACCTCCAAGCAAATTCTAAAGATGTACTTAATAAGTAAATGGAATCCTATGCACACATTTAATGACCATATCAGCCGCAGTCCTACTATGCCCGATAATTAAGATCTGTCCTTTGGAGTTTACATCACTCAGACCCATCTTAAGAACCAAAAATAGTAGTGCCAAAATGATAGATGCCAAGAAAAACAAAATCCTTGGACGCATAATGGATCTTCAAGTACTGTTTTTGCATCTACATGACCAAATCCTCCTACTATGCAATATTTCTCTCTAGATTCAAATAGTAGCACAATAAATTTCACTCTTCTCAACTCAACCATTAATTGTTCTAATCCTTATTGTCATTTACAAACTTTCACAACAATTTCAATCTCAGTTACTTTTGGTTGCATGAAATGTCTATTTAACAAACAAAAAAATTAATCGAAACTATCGATATCTTATTATGATTGTCTATTGGTGCATTATTCATATTAAGACGTAATTATTT